GCGAATGTATTTCCATGACAACAATAAACGTCAAAATAAATTATGGAAGTTGCTTTTTATTTTGCTATTGATTCTATTCGAACTTTTGTGCTCCAAGCTAATTCGTTATGAGTGATTAAATTAAAAGATGTGGTGATAAGTCGGTTGTCGAAATTGATTAACAAACTAAGAAGAATGTTCCGGTTAATACGACAAAATTTCGCTACATTTCACTGGTGGAAGTTTGACAAATGTCATTGAATAATCGCATTGGAATTGTTCGCTGAAGATACAACACGTGCAATATCGTGAAATACCACACGTGCAAATATCACTATAATTCGTTCCATTGGCGCAGCAATTTGAATCGAGAACATTCTTCACAACGCGTTTTGAATGGATCACAATGTTAGATGAATTGAATATTCAAAGTAATTTAAACAACATATTTTTTTCAATGACTGTTTAATTGGAGTAGGATGAGTCCCATTTCCATTTTGATTTCTTAAATTTCCAAACATATTTTCAAAAAGTTCCTATTTTGTGATTCAATGTCCGGCAAACAAATTCGTGAAACGACTACACACTTGCGTATTTGTCGGGCTCGCTGTCCATGCTCGTCGTGCTGATCGACGAATGGCGAGCGAGATATATACGCCAAACACGCGGATACACACATACGAATTGATACGGATCTGTCCCGGGTACATGTCCGCCGTACAGATCCACATGTGAATGGCACCTTTCACACAGAAGGTAGACGTCCCTCGAGCCATCTGAAACCCCGAAGGTAATGAATGCACTCAGATTGGAAAGAAAAGGAGGAATGTGGAGACCCGCAGTGGATGCGGATCGGAACGAGAAAGAAGAGTAGGCATTTGTCATTAGAGATAGAACTCTCATGGAACTGTCTATGAGTTAGATGTGTTTGTTGGAGTTGAAATAAAAAGCGTATTTTCAAATAGTGGTGTTTTACTGAGTTTACATATTATTAATAACCCAGTGAAACACTACTATTTGAAATACACTTTTATTTCCACTTTTACAAACACATCCCCTAGACAGTTCTCTATATATATCATGACATCAGCCTACTCCTCTTTCTTGTCCCGATCTGCATCCACTGCGGGTCTCCACATTCCTCCCTTTCTTTCCAATCTGAGTGGATTTACTATCTTCAGGGTCTCAGATGGCTCGAGGGACGTGCTACCTTCTGTGTTAGTCGAACCGTCCTCCAAATCCTGTAAACGTTTCGATTTGTTGGACGTCTCCGGATCCGAGGTAGGTGATACGGCGGCAGGCTGTTGAAAAACTGTATCGCCGATTTTCTTGACGTGACTGACGTGTCGTCGAATAACGCGCCCTGCTCCCTCCAGAACCAACTCATTTCCAGACCGTTGTTGAACTTTATAAGTGTCCTTGCTAAAAGTAGGAATCAGTTTATGGGAAATGACGACATTCTTGACTAAAACTACGTCTCCAACATTTATGTCAATTTCTCGCGCGCCCCTTGTCCGGTCTTCCCGGTCTTTTCCTTTTTGTTTATTTAGCAGGTCTCGATCATAGGCTTCTTCGTCCGTCTGCTCACTGTATAAATCGTAGATAGTTGGAATTTTGTCTCTAATATTTCTGCCGTAGAGAAGCTCCGACGGAGATTTACCTGTGGTACTATGAGGTGTTGTATTATACACCAGAGTAAATTCCTGCAGTTCAGCTTTGTAGTCTTTTCCAGCAGTGTGGCTTATTTTCAACCGTTTTAAGATTGATCGGTTTATTATTTATTATCTGAGCTACTGTCATTGTTTTTTTGACCTAAGAAATGAAATCTCGAAAATGAGATAATTTGGCCCCCTAACCATAAAAATTTTACATTTTGGGAATTTTACAGAAAATGCTTTATTTGGAGAAATAATTATTTCGCCGCCTCGTATAACAGTTAACTATGCCAACTGCTATGAAGATCCTGACAGCTTTTAACTTTGTAATGTTCAAGGAGATATATTTTTATATTATATTATATTTATTTTTAAATGTTCTCATCCTCGATACACCAAATCTAATATCTTTTTCTATATGTTTAGATAGAAATATTTCGTCAACTTAAAGGGGAACATGGAAAACCAATTCACAACTTTCGTCCAGTACAACCTCTCCATGGACGTACGATAAGAATGAACGATGGAGTATATCCCAGCTCCTCTAGTGGAAATGTTTGTACACCTTATATATCACTCCCATTATTATGTTTACTATCCAATTTTAGATATGTTGAATAAAACAAGCATAATGTAAAATAAGAATATTATGTAAATTTAATCATATAGGTACATGACGTCAATTTGTAATTACAGAACATATAAATACGAATTTATTTAAAACAATAAAAGCAACACATATAAACACGTCCTATAATTTTATTACTCTAATTCAATCTTTAATGTTCTTAGAAAAGAATGCATACAAATATTTATTGTCAATACTGTTGATGGGATCATAAAAACTAAATAGTAATCAAATTTTGTTAATTCTCAAAATGGCACTAAAATGAAAACAACAATACGTAAAATTAAAAAAGTACTTGCTTAAAGTGCAACAAAATAATATCTTAATAGTATGTGATCGTCAAAATTAAAACGTTAAACATAGATCAATATATAAAACTATCTAATCACTATTAACATTGCATTTGTGAATAGAACTTATTTATTATGTACATGGCATGGCTTTAGCAGTAAATATGTACATGCTGCCACATTATATTGCACACTGAATTTAGAATTAAAACATTATATTATAAATGACTGCGACAAGGCTCCTCCGAAGGCGATGTTAGTTGATTCTAACATTGGTGTTAAAATTCTTATAATTCTATCTTTAATTTAAACTACTTAATTAAGCAAACTATAATACAATGTACAACTAAACGATTAAATTAATCCGTACATACATGACTTGGTAGTACATTAGAAAAGACAACAAGAACAACGATGTAAAATTTAATTTTGAAATAAAACCTCACTATTTCGAGTATATACACGCAATTAAATTAAAGGAGATAATAACATCTTTATATGGTTGGGAAGCATCAGTAATATTGGTCCCTAACCTAAGCCACAGTTATCAATATAGGTAATGAAGAAATCAAGTCTGTTTCATTTACAGAATATCAACAACTTGATCAAATTGGAATGTTACATAAATCGCAGTGTAGATAAATAACACCACAAATTTTACTTCCATTCTATTTGCACTATATTATATAAAAATTATTTCAGCAATGTAGGAATTAATCATTATGGTACACAAATAAATAAATAAAGCACTGTTTGTCCATTTCTAAATAAAGTTAACAATTTAATTCATCCACTTTTTACAGTTCGGCGCTCCGCACATACACGCTATTTTATGTTTATCGTCTTCAATATCGAATTTATAGTCGTACGCCAACTAGAAAAAAGAAAACACAATGTAGTATAAAAGTAAACTTGAGAACTGTAGGCACATTATGAAAAGAGGTTATTAATAAAATAAATAACTCGTCCAACAACTGATTCTGTTTGTATGTACAATAAATGAATGTGTAAAATCGTGGCAAATATTAGAAAATATAATACTTGAATTCATTTACAGTTACTTTTCGAATAATTTGTTAATAAGTGGTACTCTAAAGACCTAGACAGGATAAGGGACACATTAGCAGCGTTGGATACAATACGCACTATCCACCACTCAAACGAACTATAAATACATTGCCAATGCGTTGTACAATAAACTACCAAGAGAAGCAACAATCCTACCTATCCACGCAATTAAGCGTACAGTACCTCATGCAAAAACCCATATACACCATAAATGAATTTACAAACCTCCTGTACATTTATATACATGTAAAATGTTTATATAATGCACATTATTATCATTAGGACAAACAGAAAAATGGTAAGATTTCAAATACAATAAGTCTATCTATCTATGATCATCATAGCATTGAATGTATAAATAGCTGTCGGACATGGAAGATGCAAAGTACTGATTCTCAATTATGTAACATAATTGACAGTGTGTTCATAGTTTCGATGCCCACCATTGGTATCTCTCACATTATAAGAGAATCAAAGAAATTGTTATTTGTTTTCAAATTATCAAGATCTTGTTTTTTCGTAAGTGAAAATATTGGTAAGTTATTAGTAGACACCAGTAGAGCGTAGAGTATGAATTCTGCAAAAGAGGAACAGCAGGGTCTGGTCAGGTTTTTCACAGCTGAAGGTGTTTCCCAACACGAAATTAGTCGCCGTATGACTGCCGTGTATGATGAACTTTGTATCACATTAGTCACTATGAAGGGTTGGTGCAAACGGTTCACAGGACGTAAAAGCCGGGGCCAAAGCTACTGTGGAAGCAACCACAACACACAGATTGATGAGCTGATTGAACAAGAATGTAGGATAAGTCTCACTAAACTGGCAAAGTGTGAGAACATCAGTGACGATTCGGTTCACACTATAATGCATGATCCTCTCGTGTGCTGAATGGATGTTCAGAAGACGGAAAGGTTTGCCACTGCTTTTTGACTCATCTGACATGACGGCAAAGTCTACAGTGGAAACATTCAACTTCACCTCCTGCAAAGAAAGCAAAGGCAGTTATTTCTGCGGGAAAGGTACTTTTCACTTCGTCAGGGGTCATTAGTGATTGAATTTGCTACACCTGGAGAGACTAGCAATAGTTTGTGATGTGAAACACCGGATCGGTTACGAGGCAAACAAGAACAAATGATCTGGGAAATTGACGAGTGTGATCTTGCTACACTACAATGCTCGTTCCCATGTCGCTGATGTGTTGTGCTGCAACATCCTCCACACAGCCCAGATTTGTCACCTTAAGTAGTTGTAGGTGTGATGGCGTTACCAGTTTTGAAATCCACTTCAAGTATCGCAATATTACAATAGGATATGCTCGTTTTTTTATACATATTTGTAGCATATTTACTAATAGGAAATGTATGGCAACTGAGTTTTGTTTTGCTAAAAACACAGATCAAGTTACATTACATTAAGTTGAAATAACGATGAATAACAAAATATGTAAAGAAACTGTTGCTGCTAGATTGAAATAACCACCCAGTCTAAACAAAAAAAGATAAAACAAAATTCTTCAACGACATATGTCTTGAAATCTTGAAAAGTTTGGGAATAATAAGCATTTATCATTGTGTATTTATTCAGTGTCTAAATAATGTTGTTTCATTTAAAAATCATGTGCGTGCAAAGAAACGCCAAACTTAAAATGGTAAAATCAAAAATTTTCAATTTTCAGAATGACCTTATCTTCTCTTAGTTAAGAGATACAGAAAAATATTTTATACAAAACGTGTGATCTTAATTTAATTAAATTGTGGCAAAACAATGGGGGGGGGGAATATGTTATAGAACCAAGAGCAACAACGGGAGCCACAGGTCACTGCCACCTAGCATACAGATTAGGGAGTAGCAATGTCCGGAACCACTATGATAGCGTGATGCGGGCAGAAAACATGATAGGGAAGGTAGAAGAGGAAGAGGAGGAATACTGACGAACGTGAGTGCTAGATGAATACGAAGAAGCGAGAGGAGCCGCTGCTCCTAACGAATACAGTCTTAGTATGGTGTCCGGAAAGAGTGCCTCGCAGCGGAGAAGAGAAAACCAGGATAGGAGCCAAGATATAGAAGGAGACAGCAGCATGAGGATAGCCACGTGGAATGTGCAAGGGGCAAGCGACCCAAGGAAAAGGCAGCTAATTGACGATGAATTAAGGAAACAAGGAATAGATGTAGCCAGTCTACAAGAAACCAAACTAGCAAGTGGCATAGCTGCGACAAGGAACTACGACTGGTGGATAGGTGGAGGGAAGAAGGAGAGAACCAGCAGGGGTACGGCAATCGTAATCAAGAAGTGACGAGGCATTGAGGTGGAGAAATTTGAAGAAAAAAGAAAAGAATATATCCAGCACAAGCGACCAATTACAACTATCGACACTACTGGCGTACGCGGACCACCTACTCGTAATCGCGGGTAAGTTAGAAGACATTGAGGGACTTCGTCCAAACCAGCGAGGTAGACCTGGAAATGGTCGACTAACAAATAAACAACAAAAAGAGCTACATGATGATAAGAGACCCAAGAAGCAACACCCAGTACAAAGAAGGAGACAAGATCGCAATAGCCGGGAAGGAGATAACTATGAAGCACAAGTTTAAATAACTGCGAGTGTACATAAGCAGCACACTCAGCAGGCACAGTACAGTGAAAGACAGAATAACCAACACATTCAGAATCACACATGGAATTCGGAACTTCACACGAGAGAAGAAAATACCGGACAGCTTGAAAATGATGATTTACAACACGATCATAGCACCGACAATCTTATACGGAGTTAACACCTCAGCGCTAACAAGAAGTAACAGACTAACTTTGAGGAGGGCGGACCAAAGGCACTCAGGATACTGATGGAAAACAGCAACCTTACAAGAAAGCAGATAAGGGAATTACTAGAGGAAAAGACGATCACCAGGAGACTGATGATGAGGCAGATGAGAGACTGGGGACATATAAACAGGATGAACAAAGACCATATCCTACGGGCTGCCAAGAATCTATGTGCCTCGGAATGGAAGGTAGGTCGACCCTGCTTCACATGGAACACCACCATAGACCAAACGGTAACGGCCTTGGGGTTTCCATGGGAAGAAGGGAAGAGTGGAGCAGAGACAAGCATCAAAAATGAAGAAAGCAGAAGAATACTGTAGGTGGAGGAGGACTCAGACATAAGCACAAGTAGCCAAGAGGAGGAGGAAGAGGGGGCCACAGAAAATCACGCAGGGAGAGGACAATAAAAAGGGGAAGAACAGGGGGGGAAAACAGGGAAGGGAACGATACCAAAGGATAGGAACATCGGAAGCAAATGAACGCCCGGAGAAGCAGCTATCACTAGAAAGCAGAGTTCCCTCTAAGGCAGAATACCAGTGACGAAGCTGTGGCCGTACCCGTTCGGGTCGGATAACACCCAGTTAGCCCCCCCCCCCCCCACAAACTCCACCACATTCTTTGGCGCATGTCGCGGTCCAGCGCGAAGGCAACAAAGTAGTGGTGAAACGTCCCTGATAGTGCCTACCAGGGACGCATCCTCACGACAGTTGACTAAATCTTGGGAGAGGCGGCGACGCCAGGCATATGTCAAAGTTTCAAGTTACTTTATAACAATTATTGAAAAGTCTGCTATTTTCGAAATGAATACGAGAACGCGGGGAGAGTTTGGACAATTTTTACAACATTTTTTTTAGAAGATTTAAAAAGTCTTAAACCCAAATTTAGTTTTCCGTCGTTTAGGTATGACTATGAGATACATAACATATACTGGGTGGTGTACGATAAGTAGGGACATAGGAATTTAACATGGGAATAGTTATTTACATATGAGTATGGTAAATCAAGGTTTACGTTAACGAGTGAGATGTTTACTGCCGAAGCGTAGCTGAGGCAGGAATTTCGAAACGAGTAACGTAAACTGATTTGACATACAAATAATGTAAAACATTTTATTTCATACTGCTCATTTCTATTAAATACCATTTGATTAGAATGTTGTAGGTACACATTAAAATAAAAGCAAAAGTCGATCACTTGATTTGTTTGATCTGACAGTAGTTTGACAAATATCAATGCATACGTTTATATGGATGTCAGTTGCGGTTGCTAGGCAAAATTTCCAGTCTGGTAAAAATTTTCAGTCTGGTAAAATACGATTTACCAGACTCAAATCAGTCTGGGAAAGCGGCGATTACTAGATAGTATGAAATAAATTAATGTTATGCAATATCCTGCCCTCCTGTACATTTTACAGAAAAAACTGTAGAGTTTAAAGTTGTTCAGAATTAAAAGGTGAATACAAAACTGTTTTTATATGTTTTATTAAGCTCTTGATATACCCACAAATTTCTGTTATTAGTAGCAATTCATAAAACAACAAAAGTCATGGCTATATTGCTACTAATAACAGAAATGTTGAAATTTATATTTAAATTTGCGGAAATACCAAAAGCTTAATAAAACATGTAAAAACAGTTTTGTATGCACCTTTTAATTCTGAACAACTTTAAGCTCTACAGTTTTTTCTGTAAAATGTACAGGAGGGCAGGATATGCATAAAACTAATTTCCCATGTAAAATCCCTATGTTCCTACTTACTGTGTACCACCCGGTATACCTGTATTCAAATATCAATATAAATAAATCCGCCGTAATGTGCTAAATATCAGACTATGTCGTTTGTCCATTCCCTCCCTGTAACGAGTGAGGAAAAGGAAAACTATATTTTCATTTTAAATCTTACATGTAAACATTCAGAAAATAAGAACCTACTTATTATTTACAGAAAAAATGATTTAGGAAAGACTGTATTGACTAAAACAGCGAACCTATTTGTACTAATTTGTCTTTTTAGAAACTTTAGCGTGTAACCGTCAATTTCTTTAGAAGCGTTTGGACAAACCCCAAAACAAAGCAAAGCACACAATGTACATTTAGTGTGTGGAACAGTTTATACTTATCTGCAAAACTGTTCCAAAAATATGCACTAACTATGTATGTATTAGGTAAAGTAAAAAAATAAAGCTGCTAATTTTGTGGCAAAAAATATAGATCTAAACATGCAAATATAAATAATTGGTAATTACTTAGCAATAACCGAACTAACGCTCTTGGCGTTTACGGCAACCCTAAATGGGGTAAGGGTAAGTCAAAAAGTGATCACACCTGATCTTATTTTCTTAAATGGAACACCCTGTAGATTTTAATTTAAAAAGATGGCATTAAATTCTCTTCAAAAATATAGGTATCACAAAAAATTTAAAAATCTTTAAATCTTTGAATCCTTTTTGAATAACTTTTTTGCAACTTTTTTTGGATATCATCCATTGTGTATGTAAACAATGTCAATGTGGACGTTGATGTTTGGTCCAGACGCCTGAATTAATTACGAGTCATTAATGTTCATCAAATTTTCTTTTCAAATTATTTAATTATTCCGGTGGCGTCTTGTATAAACACAAAATGATTACTGTGTTTTTTAGTTGTATACAAGTGGTTTGTTTTTCATTAAAAAAAAATGGATTCTGAGAATTGTTAAATGTGGGACAATTTATAGTTTATTAACGAGCTCCTAGCGAGTTTATAATTTTGTTGTGTCTGTCCGTCCTTCCGTCCGTTAGCACGATAACTCATAAACGAATGGACCGATTACGATGAAATTTTGCAGGTGGATTCTTTATCAAATTTGTAGATCGGAGTTCGTGAATTGGCAATGTAGCCCAAAAAATAAAGTAGGCCCTTTTGACATCTCCGTTAGTTATGAACCGAATTGCATGAAATTCAATATGCGCATAGCTTTAGCCATATATATAACACAATTCCAAAAATTGAACCTAAGCGATCAGCATTCACAGTGCCCTTAGCGCATCTCGACCATTTACAGACCGAATTGCAAACTTTCTTATTTATGAAGGTATTTAAATGAAATTTGATACATAGCCACTGGGAATAAAAGCAAATTTAACGCCAGTTTCAAAATTTGGTTTTGCGCATGCGCAGTGCCAACTTTCTTATTTATGGAGGGATTTAAATAAAATTTGATACATAGCCATTTGGAATAAAAGTAAAGTAAAGTTTGAGAAGTTCAAATTAGGATTGGAGGAGTCTCATTGAAGATTTCGTCTATTATTCGAACAGCCATCCTTTCATCGTTCGTGTTTTTGTGAGCGAGTCTAATTCATTATTCAGTGCAGTGAAATTACATTCCTTGTGATCCGAAGAAGAGAGAAGTGAAAGAAAAAAAAAGTATAGTGCGCTAAGATTGTCCTCTGTTGCAATTTGTGATTTTTGCCCGGATTTTGAGATTTTTAACAGAAAACTGTAGCTAGTTTAAAATTTCATTAATTTGTTTAATTGTTATCGAACGCTTATACGGGGTGTGTAAAACGGACCTTGTTATAGTCCACTTTAATTCGTAGAATTTTGTTATTAATTTGATGTGCGTTAGAATAAATTTTTTCTGTGTTTATTCCACCCCTTTAAGGATCCAGGTAGATGTCTCGTGCTTAATTATAATCAATTTGTCGATCGGTACACAAAGTTTGTTTCAGGTGTTTTCAAATTTATTTAAGTAATTCTTCTTGGTATTTAAGAAATTTAATCGTGGGCATTATTTTTTTATAAAACTTGGAATTTTCAGTTGGGGTTTGAATTTTTCGTTGTGCCAGTAGGTTTAAAGTGTTTTGTGTATGGTTCATTTTGGCCGAACCATTGCACACACCAATATAATATGCTTTTTTTATGTTACAATATATGAGGTTGAGGTGAACTTTTCATGGCAGAGATGGGAATTACCTTAGACCAGTTTCGAGCATTCTGCCGGTCACTCCGAATTAGGTTTTCCTGCAGTTTTCCTAATTCATAATACCGGCGTAGTATAAAACAACTTGAGACCTTCTGCAGAGGCATCTCTAAAAAGCCTTATGCGGGTCACTCTGTAATTGGGCGCAAGCCTGTTGAGGGCCCAGAACAAGAGAGGGATAATAATAATAATGAAGTGTTCCATTTAAAAAATGAGGTTTGATCCATTGACTTTTTTATGTGACGTCTATATATTTTGAAAACAACAGATTATGCAACTTTTGAATAAACATTTTTCTGTATCTACATGAGTACATAGATATAGGCAATTCTGAAATTGACAATTTTGTGATTTGCCCACGTATCTCTTAAGCGAGTAAAAATTTTGATATTACCATTTTAAGTTTACCTAAAAAAGAGCACACAGCGTGTATATTACTTGTTTGATAACACTAACAATTGTGTCACAAATTGGAAACCACCCTGTATGTACATAAAAATTAGAATATTCTGAACCACATCTACAGCTGGTAAAGAACAAATGACATTACAAAATTGTAGATTTTACCTCCTCGCCTCTTTGTATTCGCCTTTTTGCGAAAATTATAATCCTCAAATCACGATCGACCTCAACAATTTCAGCTACACAATTCGGATTGCACGAATGATTAATGTATCTAGCGAGACCACCACATAAAGTTGCATCAATAACACGTTCCTCATCCAAACGAAACATATAGATTCCCCGGTTCTAAAAAACAAAATACAAATGATGTAAATAGTTATAACTCTCTACTTACTTTAGCTTCGTATTTCTTTTCACGAGTTTCTGCGAGCTCAGTTCTGATAATTTCACCTATGTATTCAATAACCATAGTGTGCTTCTCTAGATCTCTTGCAGCATACAACCCCAATCCTTGAATTTTTGATCTAAACCAAAAATACACAGTTAAGCTGTATCATCTTAAATTAAACTCGCGCACCTTGCCAGATACACATTAGTTTTCCATTCCTGCTTCATTTTTTTGTACTGAGAACTCTTAGAATGCACAAACTGTTTACTGTAAGGACACACCGCTTCACCAATTCCTTGAGGTGTGGGTACAAATGTTGGTCTTACTGATGAGCCTGTGCGCTGGGTGTGAGGCCTTTTCCAATGAAACTGATTTCTAAGCTTCGGTTCAGTACGTGCAGCCCCTGAGGGGTTTATTGCTAATGGAAGTTCTAATAAAGGATTTCTGCCATATTTAAATTTATAATCTGTTAACGTTTCCACTCCTGTTAAAAATAAGCAATATATTAAAGTGCATACTATGCAACATTGATAATGAATAAATTTTCTCCAATATAGCTTCATTACTATTATTACCCCAGTAATGCAAACCATGGTCCCGAACTTGTCCACAAATGCTTACCAGTAAAATGTAGGTATTAACTTTTAACTAAACTAAAGTTCTTCATAAAATATCTTGCGCAAACAGTGTGGTAACAACCAACCATAAATAATGTTAACTACTTCGTATAATTTTATTGTACTTTACGGTAGTTTACACCATTCACTGGGTTGGTAGATTTTTCCATGGTTACAATTGTTTCCATAGTAATTTCTGCTAATCGGGTTAATTTGATTGAATTATCACCAACCCTCTTCTAAACGAAGACCAATGACAAACACGACCATGCATAGAAATACATACATTATGGTGATATGATAACATGAAATGTTGATGGATGACTCCAACTTGATCTTCCCTACGAACACTGTTCTACTGGAAATCCAGAACCTTCTTTATTAAGAGAATACATTACATTTCCTCTGGTTTCTTTTAAATGCACTAAATGACATTCAAAATTTTATTTAGTATGACATTAAAATAGTGCAGAATTCTTTTAGTGTCAAATTAACCTTCATGCGGGCGCGTCCCCAACTATAGCATAGGCGGGCGCTTCACGGTAATTTACCGCCACTACGGTTTTGTCATATTTTTACTATATTGTGACCTATAATGGTTGCACTTAGGACCTTTTTGATAAAAAAAAAACATTTCGCGTAAAGAAAAAGGAATTGTTGCTGCGTAAATAATTTCAAAGTACAATGCCAAGTTGGCAACAACAAGAGACACTTGTATATTCTACATACGTAGGATAAGACACTACTAATTTGCATTTAGCAATATTAATTTATATATTATGTCATTGCGCGCCTCTTCCTGCAATAGTATAAAGCAAAAGTAACAAGTGTATCCCCTCCATTTTCGGAGTTATAATTAACTTTTGAGGTAATCAAGGCAGGAGACTAATCATCATGTGACTGAAAAAACAAAAGACAACCCAGAAAATGAATTAGTTATCAGACCAGAACAAACAAACTTAGAAGTGAATCCTAAATGGGAATTGAGTACAAATACAATGGTATCTATGGTTATCAGTTTAGTGTAGTGGCTCTGAGCGTCTCTCCTAGGATGGCTGTTTTGACTGAACTCAGGGAGCTGCACCTTATCCAGAAGGTGCGAATTCGCCGCGTATGCGCGTACTTTGCATCCAGAAGGAGCATAAAAACGCGTGAACATTTGGGAATGCGAATAAACTGTCAGTAGAAAAATGAAGTTGAACAAAGTACTTGGTCCGAGTTTCGCGCGTATACTGAACGCAACAAGGCGTCCCCTAGTAACTGGTGAAGTGCACGCGATTGACGCGCGTATTTTGAATTTGCGCAATGCTTGTGGACGCGATGTATTGGCGCCTAGTATCTCACCAACAAACGATTCGCCCCTTCTGGACAAGGTCTAGATGGAAGATAACGTTTAAACAAATTGATCACAGAAAACTGAGAGCCTAATTCAAAGGTAAAAGAACTTGTATTGCGAACCTGGATGGTAAATCAATGACATTATGTGACCCTTTATAGAAAGTTTACCCACCCCTGCCCTAGTTTATACGGTCAGTTGATTAAAAAAAAAACGCATCAATCTATGAGGTGTGCGCGATTCACATTTCCACCAGCAAACAGTGCAACTTGCGAGAGTATGAACAGCAACGGTTTCTACAGTCTTCATGATGAAAAGCACTTGGAAAGATTTTTTTAAAGAAGCCATGTGAGGCCATAGCAACTTTAGGATACATTTTTCTTAAACTTACGATAACTTGACCTCACAGTCCACGCAATGACACCCCAAGTCATTGTGAACCAACCTTTAATTATTTGTAGGTCATGTGCCCCTGGTATTCTACTAATTTGATCTATTCAATACATAAATGAAGAAAATAAGAAAATAAATAACGAAAACAACTACAATAAATGTTCAAAGTGTCCTCCTTGACATTCTAAGCAATCACCTAACCGATTTCAAAATTAAATTGGATGGCGGTATTTTTTAAATATATTATGGAATTAAGGTATATTATGTAACTAGACAGAAACACCAGAAAATAGCAATATCCACCGAACATTTACACGTAGTGTCACTAGTGCATTTTTTTATAAATGTAGGGTTTTGGTCTACTATACACACTTTATATATGGAACTATGTTACTTGGGTACTTTCGACTTTATAAGACAATTTTTTATTACATTGAACACACTTACCATGCCTGAGATCTCTAACCAATGGGTTGACTGGTGGACTTCTGGAACAAGGTGTTCCAGAAACACAAAAGTCGAGTTGCGCAAGAGCTATACAAGCTATAAGATTGTGATTGAGATAAGAATTAAACTAGCAATTTTTCTGGACTGCTTGGTAAGACAATCGAACACTGTAGGGATGTAGAAATGCAAGAGAAAGAATCAGCAAAGAGTTAAAATGTGCATCACATCTCAAAAAATTAGATACAGATCTTAGCCTTTGAAGTGAATCGAAATGGTGCAGAAGATCCAGCGCAACATCTCCAGAACACATTTTATTTATTTTTCATTGTTGACCTACCATACGAAGTTCTCAACAGCCCTAAATTCACTTTAGAAAAAGAAAACCACAGCCAACTCCTACCAAAACATTTATCGAATGTTATTACACACTAAATTATGATGTAATTGATTGCTGCATCTCTGGCAAAGTTACATGCACTACAACTACTAGCATAGCAAGATGTAAAAACCAAGGGTGCTATTTACAAAAAATAATGTAAAGTATGTAATGTTAATTCGCACATTTTCCCCATGCGCAAACCTGGCAGAATCTGCTCTTAAAATTGTTTGAACATATCGTAATAAACAAAAAATACTGCAATGTGCAGATGAGGAGGTTTTTGAACAGAATTCTTTGTTTTCATCCACCCAATGTATTAAGACCCGTTAAACTTAAGAAAAGCAACTTTCCAGGTGGCCCAAGGGCTGAATCTCAATTCTCCGGTACACAAACTGGCATCACACAGGTATAAGTTGCATTTTGCCACAAGAAAAGAGGATAAAATTCTAAGCAAAAGTCTACTTGTGTCCCTAAATTGTTAACGAGTAATTCAGTAACCATCAATTTAATAGTAACCATCAATTTAATTTATTCCATTGTCAACATGCGTACATGGACAATAAATGTTATAACGAGAAAACAAAATTGAAAATAAGGAAAGTATTATTCAAAAAATACATACCTGGAAGACTTTCTAAAACACGAACTACAGCAGGTTCAGTCAATCCAAAAAGATCCTCCCCAGTAAAATATTTCGGGAACAGTTGCAAACAATGATTCTCTCTCCTGTTTGATGCGATAACTTCTAAAATACGATTCCATACTGCCTTAGCGCTGCTGTCTCTAAATTCCACATCTTCTTCGGGGGGTTCTTTAATAACAACTCTGAATTCGGGTCTTCCAACAACGTCATGTATAGAACAAATGTAACTACAACGCTTATTTAATTTTCTAATACTCCAGTAAAATCTGACGATTTTATAGCCGATTGGGTAAATATAATTGGAAGAATGGAAATTTTGCAACTGATGCGGTAAGAGTTGCCCAACATTCAAAAATATTAAATTTCCTACTCTCAACAAATTGTTTGTGTCAGATGCATGATGCATTACTGCAGCTACTTGTCTGTTTTCATCTCTGTTGACATATACCCTTCTGGACACTGATAGTGTTGTTAATTCATTATCTTTTTCATTTTTAAGTATATGAGATGGACAGTATATAGTTTTATTTTTATAAAAAACACAACCGTCCTTAACTGCGCACGAAAGATGATAAATGTTTGAACATCGTGTTTTAAAACACCGAATTGTTGCACCCACTCGATTACAGTGTATACATGTTGTACCTAAGCTCTGTTGAATGGCATTTTCTAAGTTCATAAGAGCACCGTTAACTGTTTCGTACACACCATCCGACCACAAAGCACAATTAAGGTGTACCCACTTATCCACATCGAAATTTAATAAACGAGCTGGTCCATCTGCGACTCCATCTCCTACACCTTGGCAAAACATACACCGCCTTGTGTCTTCGGGCATTTTTGAAGGGACCAAAGTAATTCCCATTTTATACAATAACTCCATAATCTCCTTGTCCATGGGCTTTTTATTTTTTGCTGGAGACTGAAAGCAACCCAAAGACCAACACTTGTATTTCACACCTTTCCATAACTTTTGGGGCATCTGCTGTAGAGTATTAAACAAATGGTGCTTGCGAGATAAAAAGTTAAAGTCTGTCATTCTTGGCGAGAAAGCAGATTCGGCTTTAACAAAGTCTAAATTCATCGGTTCGGTTTTAATCTCAACTCCCATTTTATTAAACGTGTTCAACTTCCCAAAAATATTTTCATTAACAAATTTGTCTGTTTGTTCGAGGGTTAAATTCTTGCGTTTCATTCCCAGTTTATCCTTCTGGCAAAGATGATCGACAATTGCAGCAACCTAAAACAGAAGATATGCTTGGTTAATTGACAGCAAATACTTAAATCCATAGAAAGGATCAAAAAATAAATGTAGCGAACAAAATTTCAGGAATTAACTTCATGCAATTACTTTGCACTAAAATCCATAACACTCTGGACCGGCAAAGAGTTGAAATATTAAGAGTTTTTTTAACCGACAAGGGTATTGTTTACGGTTTGAGAAATAAAAACCCTCATAATTAACGACTTCCTGAGAGTCACCCGAAATATACTTTGTTTTACATGTGTTACGCAACCAACAGTTTCGAACAGTAGGTAATTAACGTCTTGAAATTGAAAATTGAAATATATTGAAAATATAAGTACATAAATATTTACATACGAGTGAATTACATCATGCCCAAGATGCGTAAGCAAACGCTTGTCTGCACCTTGAAATTAAGAAATTAAAGTTGCTGTGGTCTCCGTTATGTTAACAAAACTTTAAAGAAAAAATATACAAACAAAAACTATATGTATTATATTAGCGGAAGGGGAGGGACTGGAGGAATCCATGAATATACTATTACATGCATATATTTTTTTTTTACCCAAACAGTTGATGGATTGTTGACCTGGGATACGATAATAGCCACTCCTTTAAACCTTTTTTGAAATTTCTATTTGACGTACACAACCTCAAATGAAATGGCACTATCTATTATAATACCTAGATATTTGATGGAATTTGCACGTTCAATGTGTTCGCAATTACACCGTATTTCGGCACAGTCTTGTTTATGAATTTTAATTACTTGTAGATTGGGATCATTATTTTTATATAGAAAAAATGAAGCAGATTTAAAGAAAGTAAATTATAGTCAAACCACTTTTTGATCGACAGAAGGTCCAATGAGACAACTTTTTCTAAGTTTTCCCAACTGTTAGCTTGGTAAGTGACAACGGTATCGTCGGCATATGCATACACCGACCGACGATTATGGAGTTGGAAAAATGTGTTTCCACTAATGCTATGGGACGGCGGTTCCCAACCTGTGATACGCGGGCTTTTAGAGGTACTCAAAAAAATATCAGTAATGGCGGAAATCGATATTTTAACAATGTTATTGCGCCATAATCAACTGCCAAACGGTCACCGTGCGTGTGTGCTTGGTCAACCATCAACCATGCTTACTAGTAAGTACTGAGCAAGCCTAGACTGAACGCCTCAACAAAACTAAATACCATTTCTGAATTACGTTAGTGCGTGCGTGTGCCGTCAGCGACGGGACTCCACTTCAATGCCTGTACACAGTTAAATTTGCCAATTTAAATAAACTTTTTCTATAATCGATATCCAAAGTAGTAGTCCGGGATGCTACCTCCTATTTTTACTGGTCATTTTCGCACAATTACTTTCTATTCTGTCTGGTAGTTTTTACTTAGTTAATACTTAAAACAAGCGTCAGCTGGCGCGACTGCGTAGCGTGTTGGTATGAGAGGCTGAGAAACACGTAAAAAAAAATTGTTTTTCGTACCATTTTCGCAAAGCTGAAAATGGTATATATAATAGTGTACAATGTAAAAAGAGCGTAAATAACTGTCAGCTGATATTTAAATGTGGCAAAACCTGTTAGCTGGGCGTCCAAAGTGTAGCGTACCTTTAGCGCACACATTTTTCCACATTATCGTGTCAGCTAACAAGTGGTTTCCTTTTTTTTTTGTACCATTGTAATAATTTATGTTGAGTGTTATTTAAGTACTTTATTTACATATCATACTAAAGCTACATTTCGATGATACCAACTGGTTCGAGCTACTTACTCAAACTAACTAACTATAAGAATAATCCATGCCACCTTCCTGTATGCAACTATGCAATGTTATTCCATTGAACTCTGTAGGTTCACAGTACAGACAGGAAGTGTGACATAGAAAATAAGCATTTTAATTTTGGGTTACCACCATACCATAAACTGATGAGGTGCTCATTTCCATACATGCTGATGTCATATTATTGGAGAAAAATATGATTGAAAGAGAATACATGAGTAAAATGGTATCACATACTGTATAATAATATTATACATAAATTGAAATATTGTATTTTATAATTTGTAACATGGTTAAGGACATAAAATAAATCAAAAGAGACAAAACAAACCAAAAAAAGGAAACTAATAGCCCTAACTACGGCTGTTGCTGCTTACGGAGAGATTATGGTACGTTTGTGTAAGATTATTTTAGGCGCTACTAGCCAGGTTGCGGACAGCATTTTCCGTTATGTTAGACGGCCATTTTTCCTTATAATATAAGTTTATAAGTATAAAACATTTTTATAGCAAAGTTAAGTTGCGGTGTGTGCTGGGCGTGTTCAATTTTGCTTATAAGTTTGAAGGAGCCTTAACCTCACTTTTATTTTACATTGTGTTAAAATGTCCAAAGTTCACTACTATGCTCTTAGACAAAAAGAAAAGAACTACCGCCAACATAAACACTGCACAATTGTAGGTTAGCAGGAAAATGTTATTTATGAGTGATTACGTACTGCGCAGTGACACATTATAAGAACTTCATTTTCATTGGTTCCGCTATTTATAAATATATCGTACAAAAAGCCCTCATACCGTAAATTATTTCTACAAAAATTTATATTTCTTATGTTATAAGAAAAAATGGCCGTCTAACATAACGGAAAATGCTGTCCGCAACCTGGCTACTAACTTTTTTTTTCCTGTTAGGACAAAACGCGTTAAAAGAAAACAGACCGGGTCTGCGGGGGTGTGACTGAAACGGACTTATGCGACAGCGTGTGTGTTAATAAAGGCAGGCGTCGGTCAGTGTTGCCAGGAGCTGGGGCGCTCGCGTTACGTTTTTAATAAATATTCAACCTCTTATATTTCTTAAACCGTTGGTGTAATTGAAAAAATGACCTTGATTCATTCGACATATTTTGTCTCGCACATGTATACCTCTATCTCCAATCATAACGAATATATCTCGCGACTGAGATTTTTATTACACTTCTCGCGCATACAGTTTACAGAGTGGTTGTTAAAGACAGCATTGACTTTCTTTTTGTTCTGTGAGACAGCAAATATAATGAGCTTTCGAATGGTACACAAATTCTTGAAAAATATTCCTAAGTAACTTCGGAAATAATTGCGCGCAATTACAGAGTGACGCGCATAATGCTTTTTAGAGGTGCCTCTGCAGAAGGTCTTAAATTGTTCTATACTACTCCGGTATTTACCTTACGAATTAGGAAAACTGCAAAAAAAGAAGAATCTAATTCGGAGTAGTCGACAGAATGCTTGGATCTGATCTAAGGAAATTCCCATCTCTGCCACAGATGAAAAATTCTTACCTCGGCCCAGGTTCATACACCCGACATCCGGCTATTATGTAGCCCACACTGAGCTACATAATCAGTTGAGATTTTGTTATTTGCTTTCGTACCAATGGTGAGAGTAGAATTCCTTTTATTTTTGTGATTGCAAATTATATTGAAATTAGCCTTTATTTTCCTTGCTCCGTTTTTACTCTCTTTCTAATTCTTTTGCTCCTGTAATACTTTTCTCTAGCGTATAATTTTATGATCGTTTATCTCACCCTGCTTTCTATGTTCTGTGTCTCATCTTTGGTTTCTTTGTAGTATCCTTTAATGTCTGTTTGCTGTAAAAATTTTCCCGCCTTTTTGTTACTTCTGCCTAGTGCCCGTTACTTTTTGATTTTCCCCAAATTTTGTCCTTGATTACGTGTTTTTGCTTTTTGTTATTTTCCAAAGGCTATTCAATAATCGTCCCTAATGCGTGCATGAGGTGCGGAAGTTTCAATTTTGCCAGCCAAGTTTATTGGGATTTATTCTCATTCAATTGATATCGATAAGCTTGAAAAATATATTACTTTGAGACCCGCCCATAGTTTGGGGATCTAAATCATCAATTTATACACGCCGTCTTTATTTCCAAAAATATTTAAACAATCTTCCACTGTTTGTCTTATTTTTTCCTTAGCTTCCTCGACCACCAGAGGGCTATTTTCTAATTTTTGGGCACGGCTCCCTAACAGGGAAATAAATGTTAGTAGCGCCTGAAAGATAATCTCACACAAACATACCTAGTCTCTCCGTGAGCAGCCGCAGCCGTGGTTAGGGCTATTAGTTTCCTTTTTTTGGTTTCTTTGTCTCTTTTGATTTATTTTATGTCCTTAACCACGTTACAAATTATAAAATACAATATTTCAATTTATGTATAATATTTATTATACAGTATGTGATACCATTTACCTCGTGTATTCTTTTTCAATCATATTTTTCTCCAATAATATGACATCAGCATGTATGGAAATGAGCACCTCATCAGTTAATGGCACAAAAAAAGGAAACCACTTGTTAGCTGACATAACAACTTGGAAAAATGTGTTAGCTGGGCCATCAAAATTCAAAGTCGCCGCGTGCGCTAGCGCCCGCTAACGCTACGCTACACTTTGGACGCCCAGCTAACAGTTTTTGCCACATTTAAATATCAGCTGACGCTGACAGTTATTTATGCTCTTTTTACATTGCACACTATTATATTATATACCATTTTCAGCTTTGCGAAAATGGTCCGAAAAACAATTTTTTTACGTGTTTCCAAGTCTCTCGCCATCTTAAGTCACGCTTTTGAACCAGCTGACGCCCCTATCGTTGATAGGTTATGGATCAAAAATCTATAGTAGAAAGATGAACTTTGCGAAAATGGTCCGGTCAAATAGGACGCTACCTCCCGGACTATAGACATTTGCGCTCATATTTGACAACGCAAACGTCATCTTTTTCGAGGAATCGCTTAAATTAAGCGACAAATTAAAAAAAAACGATCGCTCTCACCAATGTCCATTTGTACTGTTCCGATATGTAATTAACCCCACTAAATGCACCGTTAACTTTTTTTTTTCACGTCGTCGATTTAAAGTAGTTAGAGCGCGTTCGGCTGAAGTCAAGTCATGTACTCGGCCTATTTATTACTTACGGTAAACGTCCCCAAAAAAATGTTGTTATGAAGGAAACATAATTAGAAATACGGTATGAGTGGTATTTTGTACCTCAGCACAATGAAAACGTCTTACATGATTTTTAAAAAGGTATATATATACAGTAGTCAACTTGACTAGTCTCCCTACTTTTCGACCCTGTTTCAAACCTTTGCACACTAAATGTTGACGACACACCGCGACTAAATATTCACAGTGTAAGCGGTAAATCCTAAACGAATATATTTGTTTTTAATCAAAACGTATGCGAGACGTATGTAAAAGCCGGGAAACTAAACAATTTGGCGTTTTACGTGAAGTCGGTGTAGTGGATTTGGTTTTTCGATGTTGGCGCTAGAGATCCCCAGCCGCTATCTTGATCTCGATCCGATCAGTGTGTCAACAAGACGTGTGCAGGCCTTTATAAATATCGCTGGTTTTGGTGTTCTTTCTGAAAGACGCCATGCCTTTTGTGAAGAAAAGTGCTCAGCAGAAGAAGGAAAAGATTGTCCTAGCTCAACTATATACTAGACCTAGTGGAAAAGTCATCAGATTTAAACGCGTGCTGCATAGCGTGCCGCCGCGTCAGAGCAGACGCCGTTTCGGCGGTAAATATCTTCCTTATTTCATCATGAACATGTACTTTTCCGTGCATATTTAGATTTGTCACAAAATTTCGCTTCTAATGAGACCCATTGCATTTAAGTCTTGATACAAAACCCTTCGCTAGCTCAAAAAAACTGAGTGTGTCCATAAGAGCCCATGTTAAAATACCCTGTTTTTACTGTCAAATATCTCAGAAACGGCACATAGGAACACTTTTTTCTTTTGACCATTAGAAAGTGCGTCTCTCAGAGAATAAGTGACCAAATTTTCACCAAGTTCTTGTTACTTTTACCTAGGCGCTCTAACTACTTTAATATAAATAATTCTCTCAAACAAACTGCAACGCGTTATTGTTTGTTACCAAGGATATGACAAAAGGTGGTGTTATTTAATTAATTACATGAACGCACGAATCAAATAAAAATACGCTTATCAGGATACACAAGAAATTGCAATATTTTAATAGCAAAATACGTACCTTGTCCTCTGATATTGATGGCGAACGATGCATGATGGCAAACTGCATATAACAGGAAACACCACAAAAGTACAATTCATCACCATCGCTTAGCAGTTCAGTGTCCTTAAATAGGAATGGTAACTCGGATACTTTTTTACGAATCATATTGTTTAATATAACAACATCGCAGTGACGACAAAACTTTGCAGCGCCATTTAAAATAGTCTGTATATCGATAGGCGCTGAAATAAAGAGATAGGATAAAATACTAATGTACTGCCATTTAGTTTGGTGCTTGACTTAAAGCATTCGAGAACCAAGCCAAATTGTACAAGCTACAGTACACACCTCCTTCCTTTCCATCTTTGCCTTTAGTTCTGTATAATCCTAATTTTTGACTAGGAGGTGTACTTGTTCTTTCTACTATCTGGTAACTAGTTGGTGGCGGAATATGTAAAATATTCGCTAAATCTCTCAATACGCCCATTATGTCTTCGGCAGCAGACGAAGTTAGAGTTAATGTAACTGTGACATTTCCGGAATCTTTTAACGGAGTTGGTGGGTTGGCTCCGTATTTTGTTTTGACAAAATAATCTTTGCAAATGTTTTCCTTGTCCTTTAACAACAACAAATGATTAAGAAATACTAACATTACAATGTAATTACCTGTTCGGTATAATCTTTTAGATATGGTCCTATCGGCTTCAAACGAATAGGAATTGGTGCAATAATAGGAATAATAGGAGACGATCTCATTTTAGCAGATGTTCTCGTGTCATCCTCATCATCTTCGTCTTCATCAATCAACTTTAGTCCCAAAAACTTCGCATATGGTTCCATAACGGAACATTCTGGTGAAGAACTACTAACAATAGAATCAGGTGAATCATTCTCACGACAGAACAATTCAAACTTTCGATCTTCGTCGGCATCAAACTTAATGACGGGAAATTCTTGATCATAAAAGCCTCGCTGAGTAGACGGTGTCGATTTCTCCTCCATCGGTTCGATGTTGCCGTATGGTTTTGAACTGTAATAATCCGAAAAGCCGGGAACAATTGCGTTGCCGTAAGATCCATTTAAATCGCCAACTCTAGAGTTGCACACCTTCAATCCGACTTTGCTTAGATCGCCGCTTCCAAATACAGGAACCACCCCAAAGTTTCTATTCAGTTGCGGTTCTTGCACAATCATCGACGGTAACGCTCTCAATTGAATTAATAGACTGTCAATGTATGAATCGTAATCTTCGTCAACTTTGGAACTTTTTCGGGGCCGCTTTTTCGGTTGCGGATGAGAGTCTTTGTTTAGTATCTGGTTTTGTCTACGTTTCTGCTGATAAACCCTTCGTTTCATTTTTTTAAGCTCTTCCTTTTGTTCCAAAGAAGTTTTTTCGATAATCGCATCGGGCGAATCAATTTCTTCTTTAACGTGTGTTAAATCGGGTCGACTATGATCAGATACCTCAGAATGTTGTGACGTTTCATCGATTAATTCTTTTTTAACTTCGTGTACGCCATATAGTAGTGGACTCTGAGGTGGCGGAATATGATATTCTTTCTTAATAATTAAAGGGGGTGTTTGTAGATTTGAATCTTGACTATTGGAAGATTTAGGCGTAGGAGGCGACAGTAAGTCGTCTCTACTTGAAGCGCGATTTAAATTTCCACACTTTTTCAGATCAAGATGCAACTGCTGAGTCGGTACGGATGAAATCGTAGGTGAAGGCGGTACTGGTTTTGAAACAAATGAGGTCTCTCGAGTAACCATGGGAACTTTTGGCAGCACAGACTTATTATTTTGATTGTTGCAATTATCATTTTGCAAAAGAGGAGGCAATAGTGATGTTGTAGTAGGTGGAACGGGTCTTGCCAACTGTGCCTCCAGATTTGGCACCAACGGTAAGTTTGGTGTTGTTATGGCAGGTGACGAGTTTGGTGGTGTACTCACTTGCGTCTGTACTGTAGTAGCGCAGGCAGTATTTTGAAGCAATTGTTTAAGCAAAACATTTTGGGAATCCTCAATTTTTGACGGCCCATGTATTGATGAGTACTTACATCCTCCCGCGTCTGATTTATATATCATATTTAGTACTGCATTATACGATTCGGGAGTGGACAGGGACTCAGTTACTTCCTTCTTTATTTCCTCTGCTATGGTACCTATTGATTCAGAAACGCTTGGTTCGTTCTGCTTTTCTTTGAAATAAATCGTTTTTGTCAATTGAGAGTGCAGAAAATTTGACGTCGCAATTGTGGGTTTTGCAGTAATGCCGCTAGATGTCTGAATAAAATCTGAAGATCCCGTAGATATCGCCCCACTTGTAAATTGAGGAGAATTTGTAACAATTGGTGATACAACAAGAGGTTGCGCATGTACCAGAGATGGAGTAAAGGAAGATTTAGCAATTGTTATTGGAGGCCCCAACAAACTGGCAGCAGTTATTGTTCCTGGAGCTGTTTGTGCAATTGTTGCTGCAGGATGAGATTGTAACATTGCGTTTAGACTCAGCGATGGATTTCTTGTGGTAACGTTCATACTATGCAATGTACTTGTAATAACAGTACTCGGTTTTTGTGCAACTGTTGTCGGGTGCGCACTATTCGAGATTGGTGAAGGCGCAACTGTAGTCACTGGTGGTAACTTAGGATGGTCTGGCATTAATTGTATGCCACCAAATCCGTTCAGCGGCAATACCTTTGTAACAGATGTAGGTATCGCAGATGTAGATGTTGTCAATACCACGGAATTATTCGTGTCAGGTGACGTGATTGCAAATGATGTTATAATGTGTTTTGGTTTTCCAGTAGGTAGAATTAAGTTAGTGTTCGAGACAGGCGGAGGTATGTGAGTTCTTTGAATAATTCGCGACGATATCGCCGAAGCCGTTGAACACACAGACACATTTGGCATAACTTTCTCTTTGTGTGTAACACTTTTAACCACAGTTGCGATGATTGGCGAACTTGTTACTGTTGTAGTATGCAACGATGATAGAAGAGTACGCAGTTGCTGGGAAACATTTGCCATGTTTGTGGTTAAATCTGTGGGCTGAGAGAGCGGCGACAATTGTGGCATTACTGTTGATCTAGCTGACGTCGAAACAGTTACAGGCGTTTGCATTTTTGTAGATTCCGACGTATCCAACACTTGTGGCTTATCGTCGATAGTATCCTTTATTTTAAAGTCCTGCCTTACTATAACAGGATGATTGGGAATTTCTTCATTTTTATTTTTCTCCGATATATTACTTTCTAGAAGAGAAGGCCCCTCTCCTGTGATATTTTCAATCATATCCAAAACATCATCGAATGTATCAAAACCTGAAGGCATTCCCTTACCATCTCTTCTGCGGTTTTCGAGTGCCTGTAAAGCCATATTATCCAACATTTGTTCTTGAGAGGGTGTGGGCGAAGGAATGGAAATAACAACAGATTTTGTATCCGTATCTGAATCATTACTGCAATCCACAACATCTTGTGTTGTAATAAAAGAGGCGGCTATAGTTTCTCTTTTATTTCCCGCAATTTGCAGACTCTGCTTGTCTTGCACGATCTGCGCTGTCATTTTCAATTCGGGGGTGGTTTGCTGATTTACAGGCGACGAACTTTTGCTTGTAACTGGATTGGAGAAATTTTGTATATGATCTTTGAGATTAACAAACTGGGGACAATCTAATTTTAATGTCGCTGTCGGAGAAGATGTCATACTATCGATGTTAGATTTCCTAAAATCGCTTTCATTTGACTTAGATTTGTTAGATAATATTGAAGTTTCTATCGCCCCGGCATTCTTAATAATGCTTATTTCTGAAGATTGCTCAACTTTCTTTATAAACTGATCCTCTATACTCAGTCCATCTAAAACTGACTTTTTTTCGTACATATTTTTTGGCTTATCATCGTCACATGTTGAACTATCAGGAGAAACCGATGATTCATCGTCAAATATTTTCTTCGGTAAACAAGCATCATGTGCTGCCAGTGATAACGATGATGACGGTTTATCAATTACTTTCACATTAGGGAGCTTACTTATTGCACTAGCACTGATCACAGGAATCGTGAAACGTGACGAGCTTGTGCTTACCAATGTAAGCGTTGGAGCGACCGTTGTTTTAAGTGGAAGTATTATACTTGTTAAATTTGGTGTTGTTGTATTTGACAACTTTGTTGTTCGAGTTATAACAACATCAGTGCTTAACTGAACAGGGTTGTTTTTAGTCAAAGATACACCACCACTATTTGATATTCCAGCTGGTATAAACGCAATTTTTGGAGAGGTACATTGTGTAGATAGTGTAATCGTCTGATTCAGCGAAGGTGCAGAAGTAACACAGTTAGGAGAAGTTAAGTATTTATGCATTTCGTTAGTTACCATTTCGTGTTTTAGAATTTTTTCCTTCTTAGAACCTTCGTCAATTAATTTTTCAAAGTCTTCTGTGGTCGATATCTCTGGACTTTTAATAGACGGATCTATAATAACTATATCAGAATCGTCCAAATGCGTTAATAAATCGTCATCAGCATGATGAGAGTATTGTTCTGGGGTGGGTGCATCCATATTCATGTCCTCTTGTTCTGGAGACTCTGACGTATCACGCACAGTCAACAGCTGGTTTGAGGATAATCCCTGTACTAAATTTAACGTCAAGCTATCGGTCGTAACACTTTTAGTTTTCCCTTGAATTATTAATTCTTCCTCACTTGGTGTGGGACTTTGAATGGCTACGTTCAAAATCTGATCCGCATACTCATCCTCCTCCTTGTCAGAGTAATGGTTAGTATTCGACATGTCAACGACCATGTTACCAGGAAACAGTAAAAATTCATCACCAATTTGTCCCGATTCTAATGGACTGGAAATAGTATCACCCAAATCGCTTTGCGAGAATGTTTCAATAACACTAATATCATCCGAATCAGGTTGTTGAGCGACAGAATTTAAAGACACTTCCGTGGAAACAACGCCGTTGTCCGTATCATCATCATAATCCATGACATCTTCGCAATTATTTTCGGTTGAATTACTTCCAACTACTTGTTCTTTGCCATCCGGTTGCTCGTGTAACTTTCTCACTGGGCCTTTATACACATTTGATTTGCTCGTGGATGCATTCAATGGAGGCGTAAGAGGTGGAGTACACGAACTATCGTCCAATTCATTATAGTCGCTACTCACTAATGAGCCAAATTTACCCACTAAAGATCGTAAGTTGCTTTTCGCAGTTATCTTTTTTTTCAAAATAGAAACCTTGTTCAAATGCGATTCTTTCTTTATCCTAGCTGTCGGAATGCACATTTTGTTTTGATCTAAAGTTTCTTCTTTATTTTCTGAAGGAGAGGGCATTTTCTTTATCCCACGTCCCAATGACCACATAGGAGATCCTCCACGTAATCCCAATTTAAAATAAGTGTAACGACCTGGTTCCGGCATGAATGGTATCGGATTATGTATGTTGCCGCCTCCAGAAAAATCATTTTCTATATAAGACGGAGGTGTATAGGGCGTTCTTGGAGTGCCGGGATTTTCTACACTCTGAGGACAATCGGACATTGCAGGACTATTGCTCGTGCTCGGCGGTCTTCTCATTCCTAACGGAGATTGCACATTACCCAGAATAGGACTTCGAGGTATCGGTGAACTAATTTGCTGTTGCTGGTGGTGCACCATAGGGCTTGGAGGTTGATTCATACTTTGATGGATAACTGGACTTCTTGCTATAGGAGAGTTCGGAGGATTTAAACAAAGTCTAGGCGATGCCGGTTGACTATGTATAGAATGAGGCGACATGATAGTTTGTCCTTGATTAAGTAAGGGGCTAGGAGGCATCGGTGAACTTGATTGTCTACCTTGTGTAGAAATGGAGATTTTTGTGTTTTGAACTTGAGCTTGGATATGTGAAAGTTGTTGTTGCTGTTTAGCTAACTGTTGCTGCTGAACAATCAGCTGATGTTGAGAGGTTAAAAGTTGTGCTTGTGAATTATTTTGTTGCTGATGGTGTAAAATTTGTTGCTGCCTCAGTATAAGTTGGCGTTGTTGTATTAATTGCATTGCTCTTTGCGAATGAAGCAGACTTGTATCCATTGAGACCTGAACACCATCAGTGCTTTGTTGAAGAAACACTTGCTGTTGCAATTGTTTTTGCATTAACTGTTGTTGTGCGAGATGAATTTGTGGTTGAGGTGGTGGACTATTCATTGGTGATGGAGTTCCAGGTCTTTGAAGAAAGGTTGCAGTTGATATCGATAATCTTGGTTTTTGTTGCTGATCAGCGGACGGTGGACGAATAAACCTTGTTTGTTGCATGGAATTCCGTAGTTCTGACAAATAAGCGACAGGACTTGTGACAACCCGACGTTGTTGAGGAGACGTCATTCTCGAAGCAGGTGGTGGTAAGTACACTTGGGATGGAGACTGAGCCGAGCCCGGACTTCCCTCACTTTGGGAATGGGGAGTACCAACTTTGGGTGAAGGTTGCATCGAAGATTGTAAAGGTGATGGTTGCATAGGAGAAATGTTACCTAAGGGATTATTAGGACTGTGAATTACACTCGTAACCGGACTAGGACCGGGAGAATGTGTTATTAGTGGCCTAGGACTTTGCATTGGTGAACCATGTTGTAACATCATTGGGGATGCAGATGGTGACGGTGACATCATAGGCGACTGTGGTGTATGATGTATTGGAGAAGAGCCCGGTGGACCCAATGGAGATGTGTTTGGTTGTCCGGGTAATAATCCCAATTGACCAGGACGTTGTTTGGCTTGTTGCTTGTTGCGGTATTCCTTCATATAGACCAATAGACACAATACAGAATTATATAATACAGAAGATAAAAGACATCTGCTATTTTAGGAATTGCAGTCAACCACTACAGAGTGTATAAATTGAGTAAGCACTACTTTACTACTATGAGTGCACAACCTAAATTCTTCTAGCAGTGTCTGTTAGGATAGATACCTGTATAAGCATTCCATGCTGACGACTTTGCTTGCGACTAGATTCAAGATGTTTCTGGAGTACAGACTGTTCGGAAGATATCCTATGCAGCTCCATGGCATCAGCCTCTGCTAACTGGTTTCCCGTTTTCCTTAATTGTCGCTGTTTGCTGTTTAACGACTACAATAAAACATGAATGTAATATTCCCCCAAAAAAGATGTTGCAATGTAAAAGAAAAACTTACTTTTCTAATTTTCCTTAATTTTTGTACTTCCGTTTCATAATACTTTAACTGCTGCGATAAAATAGTATTTTGATTGTTCAACCATTGTTCATATACAATTTGGGACTGCTTGTCTTGTTCAGTAACAATAGTTTCAGGTGGAAGTGGAGGAGCTGGTAGTAAGGAAACATTAAATGTTGGTATTTGAGGTGGGGCTTCAGCTGATGGTGGTGGTGGCGCACTTGTATTTTGAGTAGGACTTTGCTGCCATCGATTCATACCATCGGTTGGATTTGAGAATGACTGGTTACTTTGATGAGCAGCTACAAATGTTGTAAGTAAATGCCAATTAATGTTATACTTGTTCATTACCTGCTATAGTTGAATTATTAGGAGTGTTTAATTCGATATTATTTGAGTTGAATACGTCCGCTTTGAGACGTTCAAAATCTCTATCACTTAGTAATGCAGGAGCGCGAGAAGTAGCAGGTACATCTTGAGTCTCTAACGTTGAATGCGTTTGTAATTGTTTTTCTTGCTCACGTTTCTCCTGTTCTAAAAGATCTTCTAGTAAAAGTGGTTGTTCCTGAAAGAAAAAAACAAAATATAATGGCGGTTTAATTAATAAAAGCGCAATGAAAATAATAATGTTTAAATTAAATATAGTCACCATGAAGCAAAATTCGGAAAAATGTCTTTTATTGAATTTTTCAAATGGATACTATACCTAGTACTAGTGTAAAAACGGTTTATGCACCATAGGGATTTCAATGCTAATCTATCGAAATATGTTCTCCCCTAATTAATTTAGAGCAAAACTGTAAATAGGTTGTTCTATTTCGGTGTTACAATGAGAATTTCGAACAACTGTTTTTGTCAACACGAAAGTAAGGTGAAGATACAAATTACAAGGTGTAAAACACGGTGTCAATTAACAAATGTAGCTTAGCCACTAAGTGAATTTATAATTGAATATTGTTCAATTATGGACCCAAGTGTCTGTCGAACAATAAATTCCATTATTATTATTATTAAGAACCGTTCAGGCATATGTTGACGTTTGCTACTAAATAGCTATTTGTGTATTAAGAGCGCAAAATGATATATTGTCGATTGAAAGAGAAAGTTGCCGTGCGACGAAGGAAAGGGGAACCTGAACCCTGTATGCAGTATGACTGTGCAGTCTGCATTTCCCGGCCGAAGACTATGAAGATGAAATGTAAGCTATTTTGATAAAGTGTGTTTAATATTTCGCTAGCATGTTTCTTTTTATGCTTTTCAGCACATCCAGGTAAAGTACCATTTCGATCCATTTTGCATTTTTTTAATTTGCTCTGTTACTGTTGCGTTAATAATTAATTTTTATGATCTGGACAAATGTGTACTCCATAAACTTAACCATACTTTGATTTAAATTTGCGCGTTCTTTCGTAAAACGTAATCCTATGAATCACAATCTTGAAATCATGATCGCGAAGTAACCAAAAGAAAGCGCCTAAAGTTTTCAAATGTCAGTGTTGTGTTTATCAATAAAGAAAGTGTTTATCTACGCCGCCAACTTAAAATTTGTCAACGTAAAAGGTGTTGCCAACTTAAGACATATTAATTGTAAAGTTTCCTGTAGTTTTTGATAATTAATTGTTAATTAAATTAAAGCACCGAAATAGAAAAAATAGTATGAAAAAACATGTGTTACAATGTTTTATTGTAATACTACTATCTTGTGGCCTGTGGACACTCGTGGCCCCGCTTCGCATTGTAACACTTGTCTTTCAATATACTATTCTTGTAGCTTGAAAAATTCTGCGTCTGCTCATGTTCTTATATTATTTAAAATTGGGAGCCCAGAAAAAGAAATAAATTAGAATGTAGCATTTGCGTAAAAATCTAATTTTTGTTTCAATAATTTCACGACACGAGTGATTTTTACTAAAATCTAATTCATAATTTCCTTAATTTCTTCGAATTCTCACAACAAAAAATTACAAATTAGCACATGAATAGACGCAGAATTATTACAATCTACAAAAAACTTATTTACAACTTTGCTGTACAATAATTAGTGGAGAAAATATTTCAATATACAAAAATTACCATTAAAATAAATACCTATGGTGCGTGAACCAAATCGACACCCTGTATGTATAAATACAATTATTTATTTTCAAAATCAATTGTTAAGTCGCGTACCGACTTGAGCAAATTTGCGCGCACGAACATTTGTGCGTGCAAATTATTTTGTCATAAAACTTTTAGGTTTGTGCGCGCACAGCCCTGAGCCAGTCGTTCGCATTATTGTGGGTACTCACTTCTATTAGGTGGTTAAGATGGGGGAAGTCCTAGTCCCGTCGGCATAAAAGGTGGTAAGCCAAGATTAAAGACCATTATTTGATAAATTTAATATACTTTAATATATTTCGGTTTATAAAATAACGGTCTTTAATTTTGGGTTACCACCTTTTATGCCGACTGGACTAGGACTTCCCCCCATCTTAACCACCTCCTAATATTAGTTACCAGTACCTAGTGCTGAGAGGGATATTTCATTGCTTCAGACATAATGGTACTCACTTCAACAACTGACGTCCAGTTCAGACTGAGCACTATGCGCGCACGAAAATCGTTTGATGTTTTTGTACACACCGACAAGCAACGGATACTGTTCGTGCGCGAAAACTTGTTCGCGCATGTATACGTTTGTCTGTACTGACTTGAGCAAATTTGCGCGAATAGCGTTCGTGCGCGCAAATTTGCTAAAGTCAGTACGGGGCTTTACAGCATATTGTGCTTTAATAAAGGTAACTAAACGACTAGTTCCTCAGGCATCTGATAGTTAAAAACAGGTACACATGCTATGCAGAAAAAATCATTTTTTAAATTAAACAGTTACATTAAAGTTTAAAGACACCACTATTACCAAATGCTAAACACCTAAAAAGGTTGTTAGTTTATGACCATTATCATTCGTTGGACCCTTTTTCCGGACCTTGATGTACCTACGAGTATCTTGAGCACTATTGCACCCAAACACTGGTTAACATTGTGAAATATTAATTTTTAAAGGTGAATACGAACGACCTCCAAAACGCATACAATAGCACATTTTTTTAAAATTAAAAAATACACTAAAAAGACCACATTCTAACCCACAAATTGTTTAACGTTTTGGATGTGCTGTACAAGGATGATCTTGTATTCATAGAACTTACAAACCAATTTAAAAAATAAATTTGAATTAAAAACAATGTGAAAATGACAGAATTTTTATTTTCAAAAGAAATGAAACAAATACCTGTAAAACCCTTGAAAAATAACCAACAGACACAAGAGGAATGACTATTGGTACATATTACAAATACTCTTTGGTATTAGAACTAAGAGTTTGGGTATTGTGATCAGTAAAAACCCGCCAAAAACTATACAAGATGTGCTGAAATTAACTATGTACTTCAATATCCAAGCCACAACTAATGCTTCCACATGAATTTGCTAGCACAAACCAACTTTGTATCCGATACATTAATCTACATACAACTATTGTGCAGCATGCACTGTGGAACTATATCTACTCTACTTAGTGTTATCTAGATGAATTAAGTAGTGGTGGTTTTTACGAGACGTACTCTCACCTCAAGGAGTAAAGGTCTTCGTTGTAAATGCGGAAGCAAGCCTTGCAGAGGCATGGGATGAACGAAGTCCAATGGTATGTGATGTGGCCCCATGGGTGCAGATCGCATTCGCAATCCCATCTACCACATACATGCAAACAAACACCGACCACAACAAAGTTGTTAGTAACTAAAATACAGGTATGTACAAAGAAGTAGTCTGGAAGCAATGAAGTAAACCAAGTCTGTCTGAGTAATGAAATTATCCAAAAAAGAGTCGAGGAATATTTAGTAGGATACGTAATAGATATAATAATCCATTCTGTCCTATAGCTTTCAATATAACTTTTAAATAATAATTTAATTACGAATTTATGCAATTTTATTTAATTTAACTTAATATTAACAGTTGTACCACAGTGTACACAGGGATTTAATTCAACTGCTTGCGTGTTGCGTGATAAAATTGAGGATACCACTGCAACACCAATTTATGAATGTTATATAAGTAGCATAAAACCAATATACAGGGTGGTGACTTGCGTAACGCATCATAGGGATTTCAATGTAAAATTCATAACATGCGATTATTGGCTCCCCAAATTATTTTAGAGCAAAAATGTATTAAGATTTTTTGTAGAAAACAATTTTTTACGTCAATCAACCGTATTAGTTTTCATTTTTTACATAATAAAGACGGAAAATTGGAAAAATAAAACCCGCATCTTTTTCAATAATTTGAGATGCCATGGAATTTTCTAAAACAAAAAGATATCCAGTTATCAATTAGCAGCAGTTCGAAATGGATTTTATGATCGACTTGGTTACTTATTCGAACATTTATTGTAAATTGTTATATTAGGAAACCGTTTTTAGTAATTTGCTCTTTCTTTATGTTGAATTCGCTGTTCTAAATATAATACTTTTTGATAGAATTTGATTTGTTTTATAGCAGACATTCCATGGCATGACGGATATTGACGTAGTTTTTGTATTATAAAATTCCATGGCGTCACAGATTATTGAAAAAGATGTGGGTTTTATTTTCCAATTTTCCGTCTTTATTATGCAAAAAATTGAAAACTAATACGGTTGACATGTCGAATACTAACCATTACTCTGACAAGGAGGAGGATGAGTATGCGGATCAGATTTTGAACGTAGCCATTCAAAGTCCCACACCAAGTGAGGAAGAATTAATAATTCAAGGGAAATTACTCTGACAAGGAGGAGGATGAGTATGCGGATCAGATTTTGAACGTAGCCATTCAAAGTCCCACACCAAGTGAGGAAGAATTAATAATTCAAGGGAAAACTAAAAGTGTTACGACCGATAGCTTGACGTAAAATAGTTATTTGTTTCATTAGTACAAAAAATGTCAGTTTTCGGGACGAGGAAGATAGTTGCTGGACGACGCGTCAGCGGAGTCCAGCAACCTTCCGAGTCCCGAAAACGCATTTTTTGTACGAATAAAACATAAAATTTTTTCTCCAACCCTCTTTACTTTAAATTATATTCGAGTTTAGATTCAGTTCACAATTTCACTACTAGTTTGAGAACTTCTGCTTTCTTGTCCTCACGTGTCATGCCACTCTAGTTTTTAGGTTAACTTATAACCTATTCGTTCTTACTTCTCACCTCTCGCGACTTTGTAGGGAGCAAATCTAAAGTAGCATGTTCTGCCGTTTCTATAATTTCTGGCGGAGTGCAATAATCCATGTCGCTATCAGTTTCAGTCATTTCTATTGTAGGCATACAAAATTAACATTGTTATATTTTGTATTGAAATAAAAAAAACTTACCATACAGTTTTTTAATTAAAATTAATTGCAATTAACTTTTTCAAATTTTGAATTCAAAATGACAGATAATAGTGCAATGGGTCTGAAGTAGATGGCGTTACGCGCGACGGCGGGTTGTATACGTATTAAAATTACGTTCATCGAATATGTAAATGACGTTACACATGGTTTAAAT